CTACACGTAGCTGTACGATATGTATGTGAATTCGAAGACGATTACGGATGCGAGACCTGCAAACCATGATGATGAACCATTCATGACTGTCACTAGATTTCTGCAATACGGTCCGCTAGTGGTCATCGATTACTCCCGCCAAAACGAAGAGATCAGGAGCGCCACCGTCGACGTTCGCGTAGAATTCGAATGCAAAGAGAACGTTTCGGCTTACACAACGGCTTATTGTCTCATCATTCACGATAGAGTTATAGAGTATAACCCACTGACGGACGTCGTACGTAAACTCACGTAATCACGGTTTTCCTACGAGAACGATGCCGAACGTACCGATCTTCGTTGATCTGCAAGGTTTTACCGTTCGAGAGAAATTTATGGTTAAAGAGGTGGCGATATTAAAAAATGGAATAGAGCTGACTCATCGAATATTTCGAGAAGCGATACCCTGGAATCTTCTTACAAAGACGAAAAAATCTAAAGCGTGGTGGATAACCTCCAATCATCATGACCTGCAGTGGAGCGACGTCGCGTACAGACTCTCGAAGCACGTGATTCGAAACGGCGTGTGCGATCAATCGCGAGACGCGCCTAAACGAGTGTACATCAAAGGCTTGGAGAAAAAGAAGTGGTTAGAGGAGATTCTCGGCTGCGATGTCATCGCGGACCATGACGTGATCGTCGAGACTATCGACGCGGATTTCGAGGATATAGGGCGCCTAAACACTCTGGACGACGTTCGAGCATTTCACTGCGAGCGTCACGCGAAACATTGCGCTATGGAGAACGTACGCAAACTATACGAATGGTGGTCGAAACGACGGGAATGTATCACCGAATTAATATATATAATATCGCGTTAACGACTTATATCATATATCAGATTGGTTTTCAATTATTGTATCATATATTAGATTAAGTGCTTATATATTATAATTAGATTCATTGCTTATACTATAATCGAATTCTTTTATCGCTATACTTATATACATGCTTGAGGAAATACAAAAATATTTTTTACAATTGTAACGGCAGGGAACCTACATACACATATATATATATATATATATATCCATACATATACATAAATATATACATATATAGAAACGCTTAGCTTACTACCCTGCACTATCCATCCCGCTTGCACGTACTCCACTTGCGCTATCGCAGTCGCTCGCTTGCCTATAGGTCGCACGCGCCATCTCGCTCACGCTATCTCGCTCGTGGTGCGATACCGACTCCCTGCCACCGGACCGACGGCGCGCAGTGGGGAACGCCGACCTTGTATATAAGCCGGCCGGCCGAGACATCGAGACCAGATCCTATCCTGCGATCCGACTCCCGATACCGACCTAACCAGTACCTACTACCTCTCGGGGCCAAGGTTTCACTTGGCTCTGCCGGGTTTCACCGGCTTTCTCTACCTACGGGCTGAGGTTTCACTCAGCTCTGTCGGGTTTCGCCGACTCCTGTCACCGCTCCACGGGCTAAGGTTTCACTCAGCTCTGTCGGGTTTCGCCGACTCCTGCCACCGCTCCACGAAATGAGGTTTCACTCAGCTCTGTCGGGTTTCGTCGACTCCTGTCACTGCTCCACGGGCTAAGGTTTCACTCAGCTCTGTCGGGTTTCGCCGACTCCTGTCACCGCTCCACGGGCTGAGGTTTCACTCAGCTCTGTCAGGTTTCGCCGACTCCTGTCACCGCTCCTCGGACTGAGGTTTCACTCAGCTCCACCGGGTTTCGCCGGTTTCCGTTGCGAAGGCAGGGCTCGACGTGGCACTCGACCCTGCCCGCAATACCTAACCGTCCCGCCTGACATTAGCTCGTAAGTGCATGCGATAGAGATTAAGGCCGCTAATTATAAGTCAGTAATCTTAAGATCTCTAGTGGTAACCGCGCCGTGTAAATAGACCGTTGTCGACCGCACGCCGCACCCGTCCTGCGCATCTCATCGCCTTACGCCAACTGGTTGCGTCTCCGCTTTGCTACCAGCGACACTGCGACATCATCCGGCTCTGCACTACTCTATATCTACCTTTCCACCAATAAGTGATCTTTTCCGCCACTTGTATTCACGTACGCTTGAGTCTCCCCTCCTCTCGAACCCGGACACCGACGAGTCGATCCGAGCGTCGAGCAAGGTGACCGCGTCACACAATATATCTCACTTTATTTCATCTCAATCTTACATCCCAAAGTACACAGCAACGAATTCGCAATCGATAATGTCGTTACGATCGAAGGCATCGCTATCGCGTATGACTCTCGAGATATTTTCCGTATCCTTAGCGGTGAACGCGATATCCTTGAAACGCGCCAATTTCGCATTGATTTTTCCTAATATCTTGGTCGACGAGATAACGAGATAATGAGTCGGCTGACGCAATGCTCGAGCTCGAACATGTTATTCACTGTTTCCTTCGACATGGCCAAGCGAGCCGCGAATGTTTCCAGGCGTAATATTGTCAAGTTGTTGATTTTTCCGAAACGCACGGTCATATTTCCAATATGCGACGGGGCTGGAAAGGACGGTTCTCCGTTGGTACTCTGCAGATATTTCGAGAGAACGTGTCGTTGCTCGACAAGCTGCCTCTACGTATCGGGCGACATCGAGAACTCTTTGCCATGACTATCTCCCAGAATAATATTCACACGCGAGGAGCGTTCAAGAGTGACACATACATTAAAAAACTTGTATCTCTTAGTCAAAGAATATTTTCGTTCTTAGAATTCTAATTGGATTCGTACAACCGGCGTTGACTCGACGCGATCGGCCTGTCATCGTCGAGCGTCCTCTTCCTCCTTCTCGCGTCGTCGTTCTCGTCGACTCGGCGCGTCTCGGAATCCTGCGAGTGCTCGATATCGTACATCTTTACAATCGAAGAGATCGCGCGATACTGTTCGTAAACGTTTCGTATCCTTCGCTCTATACACTATACGAAAACTTCCGTGCCTCTTCCTCCTCCCTCTCTTCTTCTAAATTGTCCTCGCTCGAAAATACGTTCCTCATCTGAGCGAGTCTTTTCAAAAGAGCGCGCAATTGCTCTAACAGTCCGTCCATTGGACACACGATACCAAAAATCTCTGAATCAAATTTACCGGCCATAGTTACACTTCTGGTAAATTCGTTGTACTTGAAAAACTGTCGTTTAACGAGAAAGTACAGATTATCGTCGATGTATCGAACGGCGGACGTTACAGCGGGTGGAATCCCCGGAAATATCGCGTGCAACGAGTTATGTCTGACGGCTATCATCGAGCAATCATCGATCTCGGCCACGATCTCGTTGTTGTAAATCGCGAACGTTCGCCCCGCGTTAGTATTAACCACAGCGTTGATTTTCGCAGGGAGGAAGATTCATATCCCTTAATTTCCTCGGCCAATCCGATACTAGCTCGAAATTCGGATATTCTATCATGTAAATCGTATCGTCAACAAACAATACGAGTTGGCCCGAGGGTCATCGATACGCGCCCACCAAACGCGTAAAATTATCGGGAAGAAAACGCAAATAATCCGTCAGTAACAACGACCTATCATAAGATTTTCCGTTTAGGTCGACCGACCATAAGTGGCGTCGATACGCCACGTACATTCTATTTTCTAACACCAACACCGCATCGACGCGTCGCAACGCGCACAGATCCGCGGAATCCCCCGTGTAGCGCGTCGCGATCGTGGTCGTCGCTACGATCGTCGTAACTGGTCTCGCAATTTCGCTCTTATTTCTTAAACCGTATAAATTCTGAATGGCGAGAAAATCCGCCTCGCTCAATCGCACGGGAAAGGTCTTAGAGGAAACAAAAGTGTACATTATCACATTTTTCAGAGGACTGTGAAGTATCCTAACGCGTGACCGATCTCGTGCGTTAACGTATGCAGCAGATGAATCATATCGTCAGGATTAGCGGTCAGCTCGATGTGCCACTTCTCCGCGTTATCCACGTGCACCTTCGACACTTCGGATGATGGTAAAAAAGCATGAGCTAGCACGTTTCCTGGTCCGTCCAGCAACGACGGACATATTCGGCTACCTCGATGTCGAGGATCTACGAACGTGTGAAAACCTTTCTGAAACGATATCGAGATTCATCGAATCGCGCTCGAACGTCAGCGACGAATTCGCAGTCCACATCTCGAACGCGACTTCGGTGACTCGTAGAACGCTTTCGCTCGCCAGGTGAAAGTTCCAAGTGAGATGCGTCTTCGCCCATTTTCTCGGAGACTTGTCCAAGTCACTCGATATATCTTTGACGCGCATCGCGGTTTACGCATCTGTTCCAATGTAGCTTTATTAAGAACACCATCACCAGGTATACGGTAATACTCCTGGAAAAGCACAATCGCGTGTCTCAGAGCCAACGTCGCGTTATCTGATATCGTTTGCACGTTATCGCCGTCCAAGTATCCGTAGGTTTGCAAAAACCGAATCGCCTCCTTGTCGCTGTCGGCGGCGGAGTCGCTATCGGCGGCGGAGTCGCGAGCCGCCGCGATAACAGCTATCGCGCACGCGATCACGACATCCCGCGCGCGGGCGTCATCGCGCGAGACGGGAGTCGAATCGACACTGCGCGTCGCCGACCGAAACGCGCGAACCGCTCGATCAATGTTACCATCGGTCGCGAGAGGGTGGAAACCGACGCGATGAATCGATCCGAGTCGCGAATCGGAAATTTCAACCGCTTTAATTTCTATTCTCTATCACGCGAGATTATTCTCGTCGAACGAGCCCAAATATACGTAGCGCGAGTACACGCCAACGAATGACGATCTCGCTAAAGATCTCATACGCAATATCATTAAAAAGTACATAATAGAGAACAAAAGTAAAA